TGAGTTTGCTCAGTTTCACGCTCATTGCTTCAGTGATGCTATCTAACCATCTCATCCTCTGCCGTCCCCTTCTCCTTTTGCCTTCAATTAACATTTTATAGTATGTTCTTTATTTTGGGATTCCTCAAGTATCAGTTTTTCAGCTCACCAATATTTGAGTCTCATTGATAAAAAGACTTTCCATCATCAAAGTTGGAACAGGACGCCCTTGTCCCCTCCAAGGATAAGATGGAAGCTTTTTAAAATTTGAAAAGACTTGCTAGGAATGAAATCATCCTGACTCTGGTTTATATTTTTTTTATTTTTATTGTTATTTTTAGCCTGAGCTGAGTTTCTGAGCTCTGAACCTCTTCTGGAATGCAGCAGAAGGCTACAGACTCCTTTTTTTTCCCCCTTGCCAAACATATCCTATGCCAACAAGACTTTGTTGATAGAATGATGAAGCAAGAGTCAAAACTGATCCCCACACACTTTTGATTCCTTTGGGGTCTCTGTACTCTCAGATGGGATGTATGCATTTTGTTTCTCTTCAATCCATGTCATTACTTTTAGTAAAGAGAAAAGTAAGAAAGCAGCAAAGATGGAGGGGTGGGTGGGGTTCACACACTTCCTACGCTTAGGATAACTGAGTTGAGTCCTATGCAGAGGTGCTACTCCAGCACAGCATCCCTTTTGGAAAGATTTCATAGCAACCTAGAGCTAGAGAACATTATTCTTTCAAAAAATTAAAAACTGCACTATTTCTATATCTGCCTAATGTATGTGAATTATGGAACACATTGATCCTGAGGAAAACACTGGAGCTGAGCCAAAATATTCCCACCTATTTCAATATCTATTTGCAGATTATTATGTTCAGTATCAATTAAATTCAGGTACTTTCATGTCTTGCAGCTCTTGGCAGCTAACAGTAAAATATAACAAAGTACTGTTAAGTTGCAAACCAAAGCTTAAGGTGCCCATTTTATTTCTTATAGCCCCACTTCAAAACAAAAGGATAAAACTTTTCAATCCACCCATTCTAGAGGGTCCTGGGAATGTGGTGGGCCATATGTGCTTTGAAAAATACTTTGCGAATAACAAATGTACTCAGTGTGTAATGTAGACTAAGCGTGTGCATCTGAAACAATTTCATATTCTGTTTTTATCCTGGTGTAACCGAACTTTTCCATAACATTTGTTGTTTATGCAGCGTTATCAAGTTCTGCACATTTGAAGCAGCATGCACACAAACTGAAACACAGTCATGCTTTGAAATTCACAAAAATTGATCAGGAAATGCACACAGAAATGGGTATATTAGGCAAGGAATATACAAAAATAATACACAGATTAGAAATAATGGAGAGAAGTAATAGATAATATACATTATATTAGCTGGAAATGTAAAGGTCGGCAAGTTTCACAACTGATATGCATCATGTTTTTTTAAAAGGCACACCCTTCCACATTTTTCTAAAAGATTACTGTGATCCAGGCACAAGAACCTTCCATGGTAAATATGAGCAGTATAAGAAATAAAACACAGCATGGTTTAGCAGGATGGGTTGCCTCTAAGGGGGAATAAACTTTTGCATTGGGAGTGCCTGACAGTGCAACCCTGTTCACATTTACTCAGAAGTAAGATTTTCTGGAAACACATAGTAAATGTGTAGCCTGAATGTTCCAGTCACAGAGGAGAAGGCTAAACTGCCTTTAAGGCTTTTTGGGAAGAGAAGCTAGAGCAGGGATCTTCAAGCTGTGGCCTATAGAACCTTAGGATTCTGTAAGAGATGGATGGGCGCTCATGAGAGTCTTAAAGGCAACAACAACAAAGAATTCAAATGCAGTCAGTCATAGAGCTTTGCCTTTTGATCAGGGGTTCCAGGATCTTTTTTATTATTTTACTAACAGGTTCTGAAGCCTGAAATAATTTCAAAACTCTTGGACTAGGGGATCACGCAGAGTTGCACTGGTAGGGCTCCTCCAAACATGTCAAATTCTGCTGTGTCCCTCAGCTCCAGGGATTTCTAGTAAGTTATAACTGCTTATAAAAGAGAGATCTGGAAGACCTGTTCAACAAAGACTAACAGGAAGGTGGCAAGGCCAAAACAGTGCCTCAGGCAGAGATGCAACAAAGAAGTCTCTTCTGAGGGCAGCTAATCCAACCGCCCTGCAAACGTATTACATGGATTTAAGTACCAAGTCTTTAAAAAGAAAGCAAGGCCGCTTCAGGGGGAATATTTGAAGCTGCTTTAGAGCAGGTTGGACTGTTCTGATCAAAAGCAGTAGCATTGTCTCTGTGGAGATTTTTGCTGAGGATTTGGGCAGGGGGCTGTCACACTGGCTTGGTGAGTCTCCTTTCTCTCACGTCTTTACTTCTGTGAGCTGCTCCAGTGGAAAAGAGCTGAACAGCAAGAACAGAATATGATAAAATAGAGCAGAGGCTACCCAATGTTTTTAAAACCAGTGAACTTTTAAAGAGAGGCTAGAACAATATTTGTGTTAAATATAGGATCCACCAGGGCATAAGTGGCTGGGGGAGACCAAGGGATTACCTGGTCCAGCATTCTGCCCCCTCAGTGACCCTCCAGGTGTTTCTGGCAAGTCCAGAAGCAGGAAATGGGGCACCATCCTTCTGTCCAAGTCCCCTTTCACTAACATTGAACTCACTTCCCATCAAAGTTTGAGAAAGGAGACATCATTATTGAAATTACTCACCAGCCTTTCCTTCTATAAATTTGCAAATTGATTTTGTCAATTGGGGCCAATGTGTTCAGTAGTGGTGGATTCAACCAGTTATCCATGTGCTGTGCAAAGCAGGCTCTCCTCTTTATGACTCTCCCGCCCTTTAGCTTCATCAGATGAATTGCGGCATTATGGAGAGACTCCTAGACCTGGAAGGACCTGTTACAGCCATCCAGTCCAGTTCCATGTGCTGGGCAGGAGACCACGTGAAAGCTTTCTCACTTGTGCAAGGCTGCATTTTCTCCATCTTTAAACATCCTATTTGGGCTGAAATGTACACAAACTGAACAATTCATGGTGGTGGCCTACACTGTAGGTGACATTCCAAGGCAGTCACACCACAGATGATTATAAGTGCACTTTAATATCAGCAGGTTTATTTCTGATGCATTTCTTAGTGATCCCTAATATGGAATTTGCCTTTTTTTCCCCCCTCCACATCAGCCACCCACTTAGACTAGGTCTTCCCATCACACTAAGCTGTAATGTGGTTAGCTTGATTTTGGTGAAGTGTATTTAATTACTTATATTTTATTAATATAAAAAATTATATCCGACCCTTCTAATGCATATGCATTACTGAAGATGGCTAACTAATACAAAATTTAAATTATTTAAAAGAAGAACCAAAAAAAATATGCCCCGAAATAATTACAACAGCATTAACAAATTAAAGCATACAATAGAGCCAGCAAGTAACATTTCTGAAAATATTCCACTATCTTTGAAACAAATGCTGCCTTCCTAAAACAGGAAGTTCTTTCCCACTTGGCAAAGACCACCAGGGAGGTGCCAACCTGGTCTCCTGAGGCAGGGAGTTCCATACTTTAGATGCAGTACTGGAAGTCTTTCTGCATGAAATGGTGAAGGGATGTCCCATGTTAAGGAATGGTTAGATTAGTTTGGAAAAAGCCGGTTCCTAAAATATGCCAGACCACAGGTTTTTTAGGAGCCTAAATGCTATCGTCAGCACGGTGAATTGTGCTTGGTGTCAGTTAACTAGATGATAACTTAATCCTAAAGACTCGTGTAATCTGCTGTGTGAATGCAGCTGGCTGTGGCTTATTCTGTAAACCATAGTTAAATAAAAATGGTTTAGTGCAGTGAGAGTCTTTGGATTGCTGCAGGATAGACAGGTGACAAATAAATAAATAAATACATGCGTGAAGCCCCCTAAAAGTGGCCTTTTCAGCCATAGTCCTGACAGATGCTGTCCCTTAGGGAGAGGAAACCGATGATTTGTTCAGGAGAAGAATCAGGAAATTAGATCTGATCCTAATACACTGAGAACAGTTGGGACCCGTCAGTGAAAGGAAAAACAAAGCGAGTGGCATGTTCACACTGTCCACTTTCGCTTTACTCCATTGTTGGCTTAGGTTCAGAAAGGAATGAAAACAGAATAGTCTTTTTTGTCTTTTGTTTCTTTCCGCTCTCACAAAATTATATACATCAACAAGCTTATCTAGTCAAACACATGATTTTCTGGTTTTGGAAAGGATTGTAACCAAAGCTGTCATGTTTGGGGCAAAGGTCACCCTGAGTCTGATTTTTCACACTCTGTAAATTGGCCCAGGAAACTGCAATGAAACAGGAGAGGAAGTGACCCGTGTGGATTGGCAGTGGGGGCCTGAAGCTAAGCTTGTCAGAAAGAAGAGAGAGATTATGCATACCAGAAATCTGTGCAATGGGGGGACCAGGAAGGGGGCTGCCTTTGCTCATTGCTGCTGGGCTTCTCTTTAACTTGCACACTTGCAAACAGACAAGTTTCATCGTGAAAGGACACTGGAAATACAGTGGAAACAACAAAGTGCGGGGTCCAAATCCGTCTTCAACTGTAATCCACACTACCCGTGTGATCTGTTGAACTGTCCTTCAGTTGAACACACTGGCTTCAGGATTGGGGTGTCCCCAGCAGGAAGTCATTTTTCTCCCTTTCTGCCTAAGCTTCTGAGTAGGTAGTTTACCAACTCGTCCAGTGGATTAGCACAGCACACAAAACTTGGTTAATTTAATGTTTATGGTTTCTGTGATTATCCTTTTATCAGGAGTCAACAACTTTTGCAAGCCTCTAGATGCTGCTGTAGGATTTTCCACCACTCCACTTCATGTGATGACCTATTGGGTTATCCTGGGCCAAAAACCTATCTATGCTGTGCATAATTTGTATGATTTCTAGTGTAGTAAACGATAGGTTAAACATGAGCCAGCAATGTGAAATTGCTACTAAAAAGGCAATTGAGGTGCATTACAACAAGACTATAGAATTCAGACCATGGAAAGTAATTGTTTTACTCTACTCTGCCCTGGTCAGGCCCATTTGAAATACTGTGTTCCAGGGGTCATTTCAAAAAGGACAGTGACACATTGGAATAACTTTGGAGCAGAGCTTCCAGGATTGTGAAGGGACTGGAAATCAAAGCCTACAAGGAACAGTTAAAGGATCTGGGTATGTTTAGCCTACAAAACAAAAAACAAAAAAAACTAGGGGAAGATATCATAGCAGTCTTCAAATATCTCAAGCTTGTCACACAAAAGGAGGAGCGAGTTACTTATTGCTCCAGAAGGGAGTTCTAGATCCAATGGCTTAAAATTACTAGGAAGGAAGTTCAGGCTGGACCTCAGGGGCAACCTCTTAACTATATGAGCTATCAGCTACTCCAGAGGTTTGCAAACATTTTCAGGCTGTGGAATCTGTTAATTAAAAAATTGCTGGACCCCTGATCAAAAGGCAAAGCTCTAATGATAGAAAATGGGCTCCATTCAGGTGAACTTTCCTTTCCCCCCCTGTAATCTCTTACGGTGAAGAGTTTCTTGGAATGTTGTTTGAAACATCCTTCCTTAAAGCATCAGATAGTAAGTTTTGCTGTTAATGTACTCATCCCACATACTTTGCTTACTTATCTTCCATGTTCCAACCATTTCTCTTGATCCTTCAATCCCAAACATCTTCCTATGAAGGCCAAGGAAACAATAACATCAAGGATAGTGGAAGGCTGTAGCAGGCTGATATTTCATTTTGGTTGGAAAAATGGCATCTGTTAGGAGTGAGGGGTTAAGAGTGCATTGGTAAGGGTTCAGCCTCCAAGATACTTAATTTATTTGGGTTTTTTTTTTAAATGGACCACCAATTCAGAAACTTATACTTTGTTTTCCAGGAAAGATTGTATAGGATTTCACAGTGAAATCAACACTAGCTGTGTGTGCAGTACTCTGTAAGCTGAATTGGGATGACCATTTTGGTGGATAAATCCAAAGAAAGAAGAAAGGAAATATAATTCGTCCTGTGAAACTATACAGGTAGTTTTTCTATGCTTTCATGTGTTTGAGAGAAAGCCCTCCTGGATGAACAACTTAATGCAAATTTGTTTGACCTAAGCATCCCAATTTCATAGGCTGCCCTTTTGCTATTATTCCATTTTCCCTACATTAACATTTTGTGCATGAGGCAAGAAAAGAGATGGAAGAAGCCATTTGAAAAGCCACAAAGGAGACAAAATTATTGCATAAGTAACCAAAGTCATCTTCCATTTATGACCCTTCCACCCCTCCTGTCTTTTTTCCTAAGCTAAAAGATCTGCTGACAGAGTGGGAATAGCTGTAGAATGTCTTTTGATAGAAAAGGTTAGGAACTCTCTATCTGGAAGCCCTGTAATAATATACAAAATGCAGGAGGTCCCTGACTATATCTTTCCTTACAAAGAAACAAGGATTCCCTTTGAAACTTTCTGCTCCTGCTGATGCACACAGCTTTGTAGAATCCTATGTTTATATTCCCTGCTTAATCCATTTTTCTGGGTTTGCACAATAAATGAACCATAAAGTAAGAGGACATGAGTGGGTAAACCAGAGCAAAGTGTTGCCTGCCTGGAGACTAGCCTTCCCTAACTTTGTACCTTCTAGATGTATTGGCACTGCAACTCCCAGGCTTCCCAGTCAACATGGTCTTCCCAACTGGGGATTTTAGGAGTGATGCTCTCAAGAAACCAGGACATGCATAGAAATATACACACAAGAGGTACAAACTATTTGCCGAATGTCCAAGCCACCAAGATCTTCCTAAGAAGTTGAAATTTAAGGGACAAGCAAGTCCATGCACCAGGAGATGAGAAATTCACTTCACTGCTGCATTGTTTTTCTCTATCCCTCCTTGCCACTTTTTCTTGCAGCCAGTGCTTAACTGAAAAGTACAGAGATTAAAAGATTGTTGGGCAGTTATAATCTCTGATTTTATAAAGCCTTTCTCTGGATTTCAGGCCATCAGAGCCTTAAGGAAATGGCAGAGAGGGGCCAACTCTGGTAGCAGGATAGAAATGGGTACCATCGAAACTGTGGACAGGATCAGATCATACTGTGCCAAGGAGAACATCTTATAATTGAAGAAACAGAGTTCTGTGATTGAAGGTAGGTTAGTCAGAAAGATCTGATCACTGAATTAAATTAAAAAAGAGGTTGAGGGAATTTTTAAATGTGTAAAAAGCAGAAGAATCCCTGCTGGCACCATGCCTGGAGCCATTTTGGCAGATCTGATTCCTTTCTTGAATTGCATAACACGACAGGGGTGTTTTCATCAGTCACTGTCATCATCTATGTTCTGGATCTGCCCTGTCTCCCAAAGCTGAGCCAGGACGCCCCTACGGCAGATCGGCTTGGTGGATTTCACAACCTGTGATAAAGCAAAGGTTCCATCAGATAGGAAGAGCACTCCTGTCTCAGCCTTTACACACACACACACTCACACACACACAGAGGACGCTGAGTCTCAGTTTAGCCATACCCAAGTATAGTTTTTAAGATCCACCATTGGGCACAGTACGTAGCAGCATGTTAAGACTTTAACTGACCCCACCCCCACA